TGACACAGTGAGACTCTGTCTAAAAAAAAAAAAGAGATAATATCTTAATTTTTAAACCTTGAAATCTTATAGTAATGCCTATGAAGAAGACATTATTGTAGAAGAAGTAACTGTTTTACTTGATTGAGCTTAAATATGCTCACTGAAAATGCCGGCTTATGGCCCTTGGAGATTATTGTTATGGTAGAAATAAGTAATTATTTGTATATCTTTGTACTCCTCACCAACCATCCTATGTGTCAGACCCTCTATTTTGATACTTCATCTGTGTAATGTTGCCTGGTTTGACTGTTGTAACTGCTCCTCAAGGTTGGTGTATTATGGTCACCTACATATAAAGAAACTGAAGCTTGAAAAGAACAAGTAACATTACCAAGATCTTGTAGTTAGCAAATGTCAGAGCATGGATTTGAATCTAAATCTGTCATATATGTATACCATATTCTTAACTGTAAATCCCTATTATTCCCTCCTTTTTACATCTCCTTGAGGAGAGGGATATTTGTATCCTACATGGTCTTGAGTATACCAAGCACATAGTACAAGTTTTTGAATATCATGGTTTATAAAATCACTTTTTTTAATGTTACCAGATAGGAGCACCAATAATGTAATAAAATAGTGTGATAGCTGTAGTTTATCTTTCAGCCAGTAGTGTGAACTAAATTTAGCTCTGGAAATTAAAGAAGAGTCTGTCTTTCTCTTGCATCATCTATAGGAGATGCTACAATCTCATAGACTTGACATGTATTCTTTTCTTTTCTTTTAGTAGAGGTAGGATCTCATTCTGTTATCCAGGCTGGTCTCGAACTCCTGGGCTCAAGTGATCCTCCTGCCTTAGGCCTCCCAGAGTGCTGGGATTATAGGCTGAGCCATTGTGCGTGGCCTAGACTTGACATTTAGGCGATGCTTGAGGAAGGCTAAAATACAGCTTCTTGTTTGATGGTACTAGTTACCTGAGTTCACAAAGGAGTGCTGCCACTGGTGCACTGCTGGGGAAAGGGCAGCAATATAAGGGTCAGGCGACTAGTTCATGTCCTTACTACCCATCAGTATGACCTTGAGCAAGTCACTTTCCTTTTCTGGGTTTAAGTTTCTTTTTTGTGTGTAATTAAGGGTTTGAAATAGATTATCAAAGATTTCTGTTTGTTTTAAAATTCCCTGATATCAGAAAGGGTTTCAGTCTTGCTCACTGCTGTATCCCCAGCGCAGTAGAGCTTGTTACATTTGACATTACTGGAGTAGATCTTACCTTTTCTAGTTAGTAATCATAGGACCTTGTGCAAGTTTCTTGACATATTTCCTCATCTGTAAAATGGAGATAATAGATACTTGCTTCTATAGGGTTTATAGTGAAGGTGGAATTAAATCTATGTGAAGTATTTAACAATGCGAAGCACGTAGTAACACTCAAAGTTTGTTGTCACCGAATTAATGTATGATTATATGTTTTGCGTTTCACTCATTCCGATCATCATAGTTATTTCTTTTTGTCTGTATGGAGTTTTGCTCTGTCATCCAGGCTGGAGTGCAGTGGCACAATCTTGGCTCACTGCAACCTCCACCTCCTGGGTTCAAGTGATTCTCCTGCCTCAGCCTCCTGAGTAGCTGGGGGATTCCAGGCGTCTGCCACCACGCCTGGCTAATTTTTGTATTTTTAGTAGAGATGGGGTTTCACCATGTTGGCCAGGCTGGTCTCGAACTCGTGAGCTCAGGTTGATCTGCCCCCCTTGGCCTCTCAAAGTGCTGTAATTACAGGCATGAGCCACCGCGAAGAGCCCATAGTTATTTCTTAAAGACCTGTCAGTGAAATATTTACTTGAATTGGTTGGAACACAGTGCAATTTTCAGAAAGGTCATAGTTTTATTCCATGAGTGTTACTTTTAGCTTTTTCTTCCAACCATGGCCTCTCCAGAAAGCTGAGTAGAAAGGGAAAGTAACAAAATTAATGCAAATATATTGCCTCTACTTGGAAAACAATTTAAACTATATGTCTTGTTGCTGATATGTTAGAAGAAGCAACTTAATACTTAGGAAATCCTGCTTTTTAAGGAACTTCTAGAAGTGTGATTCTTTATCCTTTTTAAGTGATTCTTGGTCAGAAGTAGATCAGAAATCCTGGAAATATGGATAGAAGAAAAATGTCAATGGTAGAGAATACAGGCCCACAATCTGTTTTTTTTTTTTTTTTTTTGGTGGTGGTGGTGGTTGTTGTTGTCGTTGTTTGTTTTTTAATTTTTCTTTTAGACATGGAGTCTCACTCTGTCCGCACGGGCTGGACTGCAGTGGCATGATCATGGTTCATGTAATCTCAAGCTTCTGATTTTTTTTTTTTTTTTTGAGACGGAGTCTCGCTCTGTTGCCCAGGCTGGAGTGCAGTGGCTGGATCTCAGCTCACTGCAAGCGCCGCCTCCCGGGTTCACGCCATTCTCCTGCCTCAGCCTCCCGAGTAGCTGGGACTACAGGCGCCCGCCACCTCGCCCGGCTAGTTTTTTGTATTTTTTAGTAGAGACGGGGTTTCACCATGTTAGCCAGGATGGTCTCGATCTCCTGACCTCGTGATCCGCCCGTCTCAGCCTCCCAAAGTGCTGGGATTACAGGCTTGAGCCACCGCGCCCGGCTCAAGCTTCTGATCTCTAGCAGTCCTCCCGCCTCAGCTTATGGAATAGCTAGGACTACGGTCATTGTGGCCAGTTAATTTTTTATTTTTATTTTTTGTAGAGGGAGTCATGCTGTGTTGCCCAGACTTCTACAGTTTGTTAATCAAAACCCTTAGGGTCTGATATATTTGGTAATTCCAGATTTTATAAAGATAATTTAGTACATACATCATATATTACATAATACCCCCAGCAGGATTTGGGCACTTCAGCAACCAGACATTAACATTTCTTTTTTTGTTGTTTGAGATGGAGTCTCACTCTGTTGCCCAGTTGGGAGTGCAGTGGCAAGATCTTAGCTCACTGCAGCCTCCACCTCCTGGGTTCAAGCAGTTCTCTGCCTCAGTCTCCTGAGTAGCTGGGATTACAGGCACCTGCCACCACACCCGGCTAATTTTTGTATTTTTAGTAGAGATGGGGTTTCACTATCTTGGTTAGGCTGATCTTGAACTCCTGACCTCGTGATCCACCCACCTTGGCCTCCCGAAGTGTTGGGATTACAGGTGTGAGCCACCCCGCCCAGCCTTAACATTTCTATAGTCAGTTGTAATATTCACATTACATGGCATAAATAGAACACAAATAGCTTTACATGTGTTGTGATTAGGTTTAGCTGCCAAATGAGTTTACCTATGAGAAATCTAGAAATCTTTCGCTTTTCAAAGGTTTTTGGTCTGGGAATTTGCAGATAAGGGATTAAAGACTTCATTTACCCGCAAAAATGTCATACCTGTAGAAATTCTTGTTTAATAATATGTTTTAAGTCAGTGTTAGATTTCTTTTCCAACAACTTTAATGTTTTACTGTTTCTAGATGACTCTAAATAGGAAGAATTTATAGAATTTTAAGATCAGGAGAGATCTTTAAACAGCAAATAATTAAAACATTATTTATAATAACATGTCATAATTTCTATTGAACTTAAATTTTTATTTATGAGGTATTGGGTTAAATTAAAATAATGTAACTCTTCGTTACCAGAATAAAAGCTAATGGTTTTATTCTCGAAGGCCAAGCCTTATGTCTGTCACCTTTAAATGAAAAATTACATGACTAGAAGCGTTTACTTGATTTTATATTTAAGAAATGAAGTGATACTATGAGAGTCTTTGCTCGCTTTTGCCTTTGGCATGTTTAATGAGGGACATGCTATGTTTCTTTCTGTTTTTTGGAGGGGGGGATATCCTGTATTTCATTGATTTATAGGGTGCCTGTTTTCATACTTTAACATTTTAGAAAGCAGGATAGGTACACATATCATTGGCCAGATGGCCATTGTGGTGTTTTTTCACAGGCAGAATGCTAAACCTAGCATCAAAACTTGTGGAATCAGTGTCACTGGCTTGGAAGGAAATCTAAGAGAGATTAGTGAAGTACTCTTTGAATCCTGAGGAACCAAATGACTGTGAAGAGCACTGGAGGTGAAAAGCAGCTGTGCACACTGTTACAAAGCCAGCCCAAGAGCTCACGGCATTAGCTTTTTTGTGGATTCTTCTATGAAATGCTTTGTCACTTGTGTTCTTAAACAGCTCTTTGTGGGGTAAAAACAGATACTGTTGAATCTGAGTCAAAAAGTTCTGAATGTGAAGTACTTTTAGTAACACCTTAGCCAATTTTGTTTTACTCACATGTATATTTTTACGTATGTAAAAGGTGACGTGGTAAAAACTTCAACACTAAAATAATTCTCTTAATAAGCAAAAGTAAAAAGAAGTTATAATGCCAGGCATGGTGGCTCATGCCTGTAATCCCAGCACTTTGGGAGGCCGAGGCAGGCGGATCACCTGAGATCAGAAGTTTGAGACCAGCTTGGCCCCCATCTCTACTAAAAATACAAAAATCAGCCCGGCGTGGTGGCGCATGCCTGTAATCTCACTTACTCTGGAGGCTGAGGCAGGAGAATTGCTTGAACCCAGGAGGGGAGGCAGAGGTTGCAGCGAGCCGAGATCATACCACCGCACTCCAGCCTGGGCGACAGAGTGAGACTCTGTCTCAAAAAAAAAAAAAAGAAAAAAGTTATAATAAAACACTGTATCATAGCTTAATAGTTTTTTCTTTATTGATGGAATATAAAGATGTGATTTATCCAGATATAATACATTAAGTAAACATTAGACTAAATGAAATAGAATGTGATTGTATTCGATTAGATGAAATATGATAGATTGAATTAGTATCAAATTGGAATATTTTGCTACAACCTATGGTTGGTGCTGTTGCTCCTTATCTGATTTTATTCCTCTTTAGGTGTTTTCTGTGATTCTCCCATGAACCTTATTTCTGGCTAGTCACTGTTTTACTATCTTGGAAATTCAATATGAAATTATTTTATTTTATAGGCTGGAGCATTGGATTTGCTAAAGGAGCTTAAGAATATTCCTATGACCCTGGAATTATTGCAGGTATGTGCTTTTATGCATCACAGTTTTTTTTAATAGGTAGTCGTCATAAAATACTGAAACATTTTCAGTCCCAATATGTTTTTGTACTGTCCTGATAATGGTGTAAACCATTATTAACTGCTATTTTTTTTTTACAGATGGCAATGTAAATCAATAATCTACTAAGTTGTCATTATAGAGCAATGTTGCCTTTCTTAAGAAGAATAAAACCTGAATCTCTAAAGTTGACAGTAGCAGTGAAGTTTCACTGTGAGAGGAAGTTGGATTCTTGGCCCTGATTTGGTCTCCTAAGATTTCCCTTTCTTGATCTATTATTGATAGCTGCTGCCAGCGTGAAGCTAGCTTCAGGGTGAGGATGGCAAGGTGTCACTCCTCTCCCTTTTTTTTTTCAGCACTGGTCAAGCATGTACACAGTTGATGTCTAGTAGACATTACACAGACTCATTACTGAAGTCTTATTCTTTATTGATAACATTTATACATGTTTATGGGGGTATATGTAATATTTGGTTACATGCATAGAATGTATAATGATGAAGTCAGGTTATGTAGGGTATCCCTCACCTTCAGTATTTATCATTTCTCTGTGTTGGGAGCATTTTAAGCCCTCTCTTCTAGCTATTTTGAAATATATAATGCTTTGTTAACTGGTGACCCTACTCTGCTGTGGAACCTTAGAACTTATTCCTTCTATCTAACTATGTGTTTGTACCCATGAACAAACCTGTCTTCATTCCCTTGCCTCACTTATGCACCCTTCCCAGTCTCTGGTATCCATCACTCTGCTTTCTATCTTTGTGAGGTCCACTGTTTAGCTCTCACATAGGAGTGAGAACATGTGATACTTGTCTTTCTCTGCCTGGCTTATTTCACTTAACATAACTCCAGTTCCATCCATGTTACTGCAAATACATGATTTCATTCTTTTTTATAACTGATAGTATTTCATTGTGTATATACACTACATTTTCTTTATCCAGTTATTCATTGATGGGCACTTACATTGATTCCATATCTTGGCTATTGTGAATATTGTTGTAGTAAACATGGGGGGTGCAGATACCCGTTTGTTAAACTGATTTTCTTTGGATAAATATTCAGTATTGGGATTGCTGGATCATATGGTACTTCAATTTTTAGTTCTTGAGAAATCTCCTTACTGTTTTATATAGTGGCTGTGCTAATTTACATTCCCATTAACAGTGTATGAGTTCCCTTTTTTCTGCATCTTCACCAGCATCTGTTGTTTTTTTGTCTTTTTAATAATAGCCATTCTGGGCCAGGCGCTCACGCCTATAATCCCACCACTTTGGGAGGCTGAGGTGGGCGGATCACCTGAGACCAGGAGTTCAAGACCAGCCTGGCCAACATGGTGAAACACCGTTACTACTAAAAATACAAAAATTAGCCAGGTGTGGTGGTGCATGCCTAAAGTCCCAGCTACTCAGGAGGCTGAGGCACGAGAATCAATTGAACCCGGGAAGTGGAGGTTGCAGTGAGCTGAGACTGCGCCACTGCACTTCAGCCCAGGCCACAAAGTGAGACTCTGTCTCAAAAAATATATAAACAAATAAACAAAAATAAAATAATAGCCATTCTGACTGGAGGAAGATGGTATCTCATAGTGGTTTTGATTTGCATTTCTCCAATGATTAGTGATGTTGAACATTTTTTCTTATACCTGTTGGCCACTTGTTTGTCTTATTTTGAGAAATATCTATTCATGTTCTTTGCCCACTTTTTAATGGGATTATTTGTTTTTTGGTTGTTGTTGAATTGTTTGACTTCCTTGTTTATTGTTGGTATCAGTCCCTTTTCACATGAATAGTTTGCAAATATTTTCTCCTATTGAGCAGATTGTCTCTTTACCCTGTTGTTTCCTTTGCTGTGCAGAAGCTTGCTTTCTTTTTTTTTTTTTTTTTTTTTTTGAGACACAGTTTCACTCTGTGGCCCAGGCTGGAGTGCAGTGGTGTGACCTGCGACCTCAGCCTTCCAGATTCAAGTGATTCTCTTGCCTTAGCCTCCCCAGTAGCTGGGATTACAGGCGCCTGTCATCACGCCCGGCTAATATTTGTATTTGTAGTAGAGACGGGGTTTCACCATGTTGGCCAGACTAGTCTCAAACTCCTGACCTCAGGTGATCCACCAGCCTTGGCCTCCTGAAGTGCTGGGATTACAGGCATGAGTGTTTTTTGATTTTCCATCAAGACTGAAACATAAAAATAAAACAAAAGTCAAAGTGTTAAAAAGGAAACTTAATATAGCCAATAACATGAATATCGTTATTTTCTGGTTGACGTTTTTTATTATCCACAAATGCTTTCTTTGATATTTCTATTATATTCAGAATTTAGGGAAAGGTGGCGGGGGTGTGTGAACATGATTGAGAAAAAAAAGTCACATTTATTTTCATTAATGGCTAACTGAAATTGAACATTCTTTCATTTGTGATAACACTAAATCACAGTTGTATTACCAGTATTTATGACTGAAACTAAAATAATTCACAAATGTTTTAACTTCAGTTTACTTATATTGTAAAAGTATTGAAATTGCTCATTATTATTGCTGTTATACCTTATGCTAGGTCTTACTTAATGTTTTGATAAGGAAGGGCTTGGCACAGTGGCTCATGCCTGTAATCCCAACACTTTGGGAGATCGAGGCTGGAGGATTGCTTGAGCCCAGCAGTTCAAGATCAGCCTGGGCAACATAGCAAGACTGTCTTGATAAAAAAGAAAAACACACACCCAAATAAGGGAGCTTGTACATTACTGTCTTACATTTAAAAATATTTTGTAATTGTATATTACATAATTGGTTTGCTTTGTAATCCTATGTATTTCATTTAATCTGTTTTTAACGGATTCTGAGAAGGGGTCCATATGCTTCACCAGACTGCCAGAAGGATCCATGGTGCAAAAAAAGGGTTAAGAACTCTTCCTCTAGGCTGGCCCAGTGGCTCTTGCCTGTAATTCCAGCACTTTGGAAGCCGGAGGTGGGTGGATCACTTGAGCTCAGGAGTTTGAGACCAGGCTGGCCAACATGGTGAAACCCCTATTTCTACTAAAAATACAAAAAAATTAGCCAGGCATGGTGGCATGTGCCTATAATAATCCCAGCTACTCAGGAGGCTGAGGCAGGAGAATCACTTGAACCCAGAAGGCGGAGGTTGCAGTGAGCTGAGATTGCACCACTGCACTCCAGCCTGGGTAACAGAGCAAGACTCTGTATTTAAAAAAAAAAAAAAAAAAGAACTCCTCCTCTATCTATAGACCCCAGGAAGAGAAAGGAAGTAAGTCATGAAGTCCTACCTTCTGAATTCAGGTTCCTGACTTGCAACTTCTCTTGCAAGTCAACTCTAAGAATAAACTTTCCTTTGAGATAGGCCCTTACCGAGGCATAACTTTATCCTGACAGACCTATGTGGGGAAATCCACATCAAAAACAACATAGTAATCCCAATGTTTATTTAACAGGTACTTGTAGAGTTATAGGGAGTGTGGAGGTTGGATAGGGCTAATATTTATGACCATCTCTAATTTGTTCCTGGGTTTCCTTCTTTGGAAAGCCTATGTATTTATATAACAAACATTTGAGTTTTACTATGATTAAGAATTGTGCTGGATTTATAAAGATGAATAAGATCAGGCCTTTCTCCCCTCATTGAGATTAAATTCTAGTAGAGGAAAACTGACATGTAAACAAAGATGTAGGTACCCAAAGAAAAGTCCATACATACAGTGTTCATCTGGGGGAAAGAAGAAGGGTCGGAAGAAGCACAAAGAAGTTTACTTGTCGGTCTAAGTACATAATCTGGGAGGTGCAGAATGCCGTTATGTAGGTGATAAAGCTGAAATCACGTCTCAAAAGATGACTAGGTTCTCCCTCAGCAGATAGACCGGGAAAGGTATTTCAGCAGAGGAAACAGTATGTGGAAGCAGTGTGGCATTTAGAAGTGAAAATAAAGGAGAGTTAGTTGCATACAGGGTTAAAGACATGGGGAGAGCTAGTTGCATACTGGATTTTAAAGACATAGGTGGTATGGCACGCAGGGCTTCATATGTGATGCTGAAAGCATCACTACTGAAAGGTGTTAGGCAGGGGAGTATGTGACCAGATTTGCACATTGGAGGAAATGGGAAGCTGGAGCCTGAAAGACCTGTTGACTAATGAAGTTATTCAGGTGAGGAGTGATGAGAGCTTAAACTAAGATAATAGCAATAGAAATGGAGAGAAGGGGAATTTGTTAATGAAAGACAGCCTTCCCTAGCATTGCTGTCAAGTATGACTTTGCAGTGATGGAAATGTTTCTGATGTGAGTGTTGACTGATATGGTAGTGCTTAACTACATGAGGCTGTTGAGCACTTGAAATATGACTAGGGAATGGAATTGTAAATTTCATTTAATTTTAACAAATTTTAAATAGCCATATATGTAAACAGCTCTAGCATATAGGAGAAAGGACAGGTTTAGGAGATATTTGGAAAGTAATAGCATAGAGGTGGGTTAGATCACCTAGGAAAAAGGGAAAACAGAGTTGGGATATAATAGACTGGTTAAATCAAATGAGATCTGAAGAGTCCATGGGAGTTTACAATTAGGAGTGCAGGAAACTTTGAGCAGAGTGAGAGAGTAGAGTAGAAGGTGGGTATGGGTTGAAGATGGGGAAGTAAACAGGAAGACAAATATTTGGGCCAGTAGTGGATTGGGCTAGTTTTGTAAGTTTTTATATATAGTAGATTATTCAATCATGATTAAGTGTCTGCTGTGTGCTGGACATTATTCCACATGCTGAATATAGTGGCAGACAAGACAAGGTCCTCTGCCATCTTGGAACTTATTAAAAGGATAGTAAACATAGCTGTATGTTTTTTTTTTTTTTAAACAGTATTATTGAGATATAATTCACATACCATACAATTCATTCATTTAAAGTGTATGATTCATTGTTTTTTAGTATATTTTGGTATTATCACCACAATTAACTTTAGAACAT